CAGCTCTCTGTCCACATCTAGCCCACCGTTTCAACACTTCTGCCATATACGTATGTATATTCATCAGTCTTTCGGCAAATTACTGTCACTCTTCCCCCGACTATAGGGTCGCGCACCGCCCAGCATACGCTCCAATAGACTCTGTTTCGATTTTCGCTTCGACGCCAGCACTTCCTTGCACAGTTCGTGAAAGACTTCGGCCACCTGATCGACATGATCCGCCGCTGATACTTCGCTGAATTTACATTCAAAGTCTTTGGCTAGAATTTCACCCTCGTCGCGGCTCACCTGACGCAAATGTACCATATCGACTTTATTGGCCACCAGCTGAACGGGCGAATCGGATTGTAGGTCAGATTTGGCGCGTCTTATATAATTGAAAGAGCAGCGATCGGTGATGGAGTAAACGAGTAGCAGGCCATCAGCCCATTGCAGTAATTCGGCGGCATTAGGGAATTCGTCATCGGCCTGCAGAGTAGTGGGTGGTGGTGGTGGTGATGATGGTTGTTTGGTTGTTCAGCAGGAACGCATAATGACACCACCAATGACACATTACAACAGCGTGATTCGTTGTTGTTGTTGTTGTTGTTGTGCAGTGAAAGGTGACATCAGCCAGTGTGAATATGAAAGTAAAATAGAAAAATAAAAATATACATGAGTAAAGAAAGGAAAGGATAATACATAGTGCGCATGGAGACAGTCGCACTGCCACAGCTGCTAGACTGGGTGAGATTGGCACTCCTCTTTGCTAGCGGATAATGGAAAATTGAGTTATTATTTCAACAACGCACTACTGACACACATTGCTGCAACGCGTGCACTCTCTCAGACTTTGGCACATAAAAAACTTTCTGTCGACTACACAGTTACTTTTGCAGAAGGAGCCTCCGAATAGGCGCACATACATATATCTGTATGTGTTTTTTTTTTGTGTTTGCAGAGTTCTGCTTCACATTTACAGTTGTCAACATGCAACAGGAGTGATTTCACCTATCACACACATACACACACACACACACACACGCATACCTATGCATACATGCAAGTGAGTGAGCCAACTATACACATGAATTGAATTCACTTAACACACAAACAATGTCCTTGCCATCCTTGCCGTCCTTGCTCTGGCGGCAGTCTGCCAACGGTTGTGTGTACATACATACATATTTACATATGTTTGTGTGTGAGCACGCATTGTCAGAATAATTCACTTACCTTGGGGCATGTGTCTAGTATTTCAAAAAGCACCGGCTCCCCATCCACCATCGCTTCGTGTTTGTATCGATTTTCTGCAATACAAATAAACATAAAAATGCTTTTACAATGTTATATGTATGTGAGTGCATGAGGTAAATATCTATGTATGTACATATGTAAATGTAAATTAAATTTTTTCGCCTTAAAGTGGAGGAGAATTTAGAATGAAAGCACGCAAACTTAGTGTGAAACTTAGAAAATCTGGGTTGAATGCACAGAGACAGGATACTGTGGAGTTTATGCACGATACTTATGGAGTTATAAATATTTCAAAACTAGTATTTCACTTGATTCTTTGATGTTCTTGATGAAACCAATATTAAAACCAAATTTTATCGAAATTGAACAACGTTTAAGATATCCGTATACATTGCTATGAGCGTAGTTTTTCCATAGATATGGAAATTTTAAGGAAAATGGAGTAGATTTACTACTTTTAGCTGAACAAGTTAAAATACCGTCTCCTAGCGACTAGCATCTCAAATTATAATATCTGCAATCATAGAGATAATTCCTAAAACGTCGAGACTATGGAAGCTGTGGCCGAAAATCGGGACATTTCTAAAGCATCGAATCCGGACATACAACTTCCTTTTTAATACAGTTTTATTTAAAACAAAACAAAGAGAGAAAAACGTTAAAACTTTTTTTAACTTAAAAGTTCGTTTTCTTTGTTTAAAAAATGTTTATAATTTTTTTTTTTTTAAATATAACCTACTATCTCAAAAAAAAAGAACAAGTAAATCAAAATTTCCAACTCTGTAGAACATTTATAAAATTCGACGAATTTTAAAAACTGCTAATCAAAACTTTAAATTTATTTATAAGATTTTATAGAATGGTTTTGAGCATGCAGTTTTGTAGCCCACGTAATTTTAACACAATATGGTATGCTAGCTAAAATCCGGTATAAACAATTTTTGCTACTGGTATAGACGCCAAGCATATTACCCTGTCCACCTTCAGTTCATACACTTTGACATATTTCTGCTTCAAGAGTGTATGAACTGGAAAGTCTGGAGTCTAGTACACATATATACAGTCTCGGTCATATCTATAGCACGCCATTTCAAAGTGATATTGTGTGCCACTTATATTTATTTATTAATTTTTAAGAATTTTCAATTAAAATTTAGTTCATTCTCAGACAAACCCCATATATACCCAAGTTTAACAATTTGTAGAAAACTTCAAAAAAGTGCAACAAAATTTCACCTAAATTTCAAACTTTTTTCTCGGAAGTGTTAGAATTTTTTTGAGTACAAAGTTTTTTAGCCCCTGCAATTTTAGTGGCTACTAATTACCGTTAATTTTTTAGAATTTTTTTTTGTCGCATTGGCTTCCATATAATGAATAAACTCAATTTATTTGTGTATGGAAGAAAACCGCAACACCTTTGGCGAAAAAAATTGTAAAAAATCAACGGTTACCTTTAGCCACTTGAAACTTGCACATTATCAGAATAAAATTGATTGGGCTATAAAACTGTGTATCCAGAAAAATTCTAACACTTCCGAGAAAAAAGTTTGAAATTTATATGAAAATTTGTTGCACTTTTTTGTAGTATTCTACAAATAGTTAAACTTGGGTTTATATGGGTTTTGTTAGAGAAAGAACTATATTTTAATTGAGAATTCTTAAAAATAAATAAATAAACATAAGTGGCACACAATATCACTTTGAAATGGCGTGCTATAGATATGACGTATCTATCAATTTTCTTAGAAGTCAATTAGACATGGCACTGATATGGAGGGGTAAATTCCTGTGGTAAACGTTAACATATCTGAAGACAGCCAAGATCAGGCATTGCTCTTGCAAAAAGAGCAAACTATATACGAATGCTTCTATTGCCGTGAATTTTATGTGAAGTTCGAGCTTAGTGCTGATCGACTACACCGTGATCGGGGACTGCATTTCACTACTCTATTTAGTGTAGTTTCAAAAATTGAACCTGAACTGAGGACCGATAACGATATGTATGTATATATGTATATTTATTTGAAAATTCTCTTACTATGTTCTATGAACGACTTAATACATAAATAAGCTATTATCCGTCATAATGTTATAGAAATGCCCTGAATATCAAACTTGATGACCTTGGTCGAATTCACCTGGGTTGTAATAAAATACATTTTCAGTTGTGGTTTATGAGTTTTTATTTGCTTTACTGCAGCGCTTTAAACTCGCATAATAAAAAAAAATAGAAAATCTACAACTAAAAAATTGGTGTGATTAAATTTCTATAGAAAGCACGCAAGTGCGGTGTTTCGTTTCTTTTGTGTGTCATTTATACACAAGTGTACTACGTGCGTTTTAATACATTGAAATATTCTATTAGTTTTTTTTTTTTAGCCACACATACAGATTTACTTCGTCAAATATTTTTCCTGTCATTGTGAAGTAATTATTGAGTGTTTTTTTTTCCATTTTCCAGTGCATTGTAATGGCACGAATTTATAGAAGTATCCTTTTACAAAAGTGGTAAATAAGTAAGTGCTGCAATTAACTGGAATTTAGGTCAGGGTAGAGAAATATATACATAGTTGTTATTGTAATACCTTTTTTTTTACAAACTCATATATTCATTACACATGTATGTATATGTAGGTAATTGCATGTATGTTAGCATGCAAGTCTCTCTGGAATTCTTTAATAGCTCTCTCAAAAATTTATTTTCAATAATTGAATTTTTTACATCGCTTGTGCTTTAATGAATGCTTGGCGCTTAGTTGTATTTAAAATCAATTTCTCTTGCTGATATTTCATGAAGATAGCGCGAATCTGACGGGACTCACAGCCCAGTAGAGTAAACAAAATTTATCTATAAAAAAATAAAATAATTTGAAATGGGAAATTTTCTCTATGGATCAGAATTTTTTATGAATTCCATTGATGTACCTTATTTATGCATGGCTTTGTGTTTACTTTGTGGAATTCGGTTTTTTTATAAATAATATAAATTAAGACTCGATATATTAAACAGAGCAAATTATTCCTTAAAACTGAAATATGTATAAGCATGCTGAAGGTGGAAATTTTTCTGTCGATTTATATTGAGAGAACAATTTGTGCACCTGGGGTCCCTCCACTTTCGTTAAGACATTAGGACGCAGCACGCACATCAGAAATTGGAGGAGAACCATAGCCAAACAGTCAACAAAAATTTAGCCATGCGCCAAATATTTATTTATTTTTTTTTATGAATGTGTGCCGAAAAAAAATTAAAAAACGAAATTTTTGCTTTAATGTATTTGGAAATGCGCTTGTAACTTTTTATTTTATCGATCTGTGCTAATATACATGTATAATCATATTTTTAGATTTATTGCGAAGCAGTTTATAAGCGGACCAACAAATGCAAGATTCGTGCTGCAATTTAATGAAATTTTGTGTAAGAGCAGTTTATAACTTCCAGCTGTTCAAAGCTGACCTAAATGACCTTAAAAAAGGCGTAAGAGCGTAGGTACGCATTTTGCCTGATATTATTTTGAGCAGAAAACCAGTTTTCAATTTGTAAGCATTTTTTAAAAGAGATGCTTTTCTAATTTCTTCGTGTTTTACTTTTTGGAATAATATTCATGAATTTTTGGGATGCTTTCCATCACATAATCAGGTAACAAAATTACCTGATGAAATATTCAACGCAGGTGCTTCATAACAAAAAGCGGCAAAAAATTGATCGATGCACGCTTGTCTCGAACGTCGTTAAAATACATTACGCGAAAATGTTACGGTGTTGATTCACATTTTTAAAATCTCTTTAGAAAATATATGTACGAGTAAGTAAGGATGGATTCATTGATCAAGATAGTTAGTAGAAGACAAAATGGTCTTATGAAAGACTTTTGCCATTCGAAAGGCTGTGAGGAGTTGTAAGACCGCTGTTAGAATTGCCCTGTAAAATATATGTATATTTGTTAGGGTGCTTTCTTCGCGACTAATTTTCCCCACTACTAGCTTGAAATTTTGTGGGAAATACCTTCTCGTTTTTTCCCTATCTCCTAAATAACAAGATCTACAGAAAAATGGAAATGACAAACTTGTAGTAAATTCAATTTCCTGCAAAAAAGTTCAAGAACACCAAATCGCTAACATCGATATTTCTTGAGATAGTGTGGAATTTTCATGGGATATTGAAATTACTATAAGTTTGTAATTTAAATTTTTTCTGTGGCTCTTGTTAGTTACGAGATAGGGGCAAAAAAAACGAGAATTTCATGAAAAAATTGGGTTTAGTGAACCGTACTACCTCGCTGGTAATATTAAAATTAAGGCCTACAATTTTCAGAGATTTTTTTTGGGTATTTTTCACAAAAGATCGAGGTGGGAGTGAAAAAAATAGTCGTGAAAAAAGGCACACATTTATATTTCTTTTAAAAACAATAAAAACGAGTAAAAAAAATAAATTAAATAAAAAAAAGCAAATTAAATGAAATTAAAGCAACAAAATCTAAACTTAAAAATTATAAAAAAAAATATCAAAAAAGAAGAAATAAAATAAAATTAAAAAGTGATAAAAAACAAAAATTAAAAGAAAATTGAATTGAAAAAACAAAAAAAAAAAATCAAATAAAAAACTAAAACAAGATCCTTAAAATGAAATGTAATAAAAAATATATATATTTTTTGAATGAATAAAATCTGAAAATTAAAGGATAATTAAATTCAAAAAGAAAAAAAATTCTTTACAAAATGGAAAAAAACAAAATAAGTTTCTAAAAATTAAACGAAATTAAAAAAAATATTTTTCTATTTTAAAAAGTAAAATCTAAAGTCAAAAGAAAAATGAACCAAAAAAGAAAAAAATTTAATAAACAATTGAAATAAGTTCCGAAAAAATAAAATTAAAAAATATTATAATTTTTTTAAATTAATAAAATCTAAATATTAAAAGAAAACTAAATTGAGCAAGAAAATAATTGAATGAAAAAAGAAACAAAAAAAAATACATAAAAGTTTCTAAAAACTAAGGGAAATTAAGAAATGCATGAATATTTGTCTTTTTAAAATAATAAAATCTAAAAGTTCAAAGAAAAAAATGTCCGCCCGAGAAATATTCGCTTTAGAGACATGAATTCTTAAATCAGTACTCAAATATTTGTCTAGAATAAATTGGTATTATTAATTATGTTCGCCCATAATGAGCTAGTATAACAAAACACAGAAGTGCTTTAAATTCGTCACTTAAGTACCTGTTTGATGATCATATTCGCCAATATAACGTTTGGTTAGGAAACGCACAATCAGAGCTGAAAGGGGGGAAAGAAAGAAAATTATAAACTGTTAAAACTCCATTAATTAGTGTTTGCTATGAAATATGCAATAAATACTACGACATGATATATATTACCTCAAATACCAAAAAAGAAAATCATGTGAATTTAATGTAAATTAAAAGAGCAATAAAACGCGCAAACGCCCACTAACAGTTCACCTGCCTGTGGGCGCAAAAAACAAATCACCAAAGGGAGCAATTTTCCCTCAAAAATAACAAACAAAGGTGCCAGCGATGAATTCGGGTCAATGAGTGAGAAGCACAAAAAAAAGCGAAATGTAACATTAACGAAACGAAAAGCAGCAAATTGAGTCCAGTAAACAAAAACGAAATGTTGAATTTCACTGCTTGACTTCATTATAAAATCATGTATATACATATGTACATACATTGTCAAACGAAAAACTGTCAAACAAATGGAAAACAGCTTAAGCAACCACCCACATAAACGCTGGAAGACTCGGCGCACACTAGCATTAAAAAATATGCGTGCGCCCAGTAGGAATTGGCTGGAGTAATACAATTTGTTTTTATTAAGAATAAAGGGCACTCATGGTCTGAGAAAAGCTTTTGGTTTATTATATAAACTTGGTCACGAACTGGTCTGCTAGCTACTAATACTGGAAAGATCATTGGCCAAACTTTCCTCGATAGGTGGCGTTTCACTTGTGCTCTTTGATAGCGTCGGGATCTTAGGACATAATATGGGGTCGTAGTCTGGCAGAATTCACCAAAAAAGCCAACTCTGGATAAGAAGCTTGTGCGTCCTCGTTTGTAGGTGTCTGCGGAGCACTCCACACCACGCCTAATATAGCCCTTAACGGTATGCTCAGCGTCGTACTCTTTTGACATTGCGGACTAAGTTGCCGCGTTCACTCCACCATGAGGCTAAGAAGCTCTGGTTTTTCCTTCCACCTGGCATACGAGCACTCGGCAACTTTGACTTCATACCGGAAGAAATGGATCGGTGCGTTCTGAGGTTGCCTTCGAACGAATTCTTCTATACACATATCCTTTTAAGGGATAAACGGGAGAATTTCAGCTCCAGAAGAGAACAGATCCAATAAATATTTTCACTGGTGTATCGAAGCTAGACGTCAGAACTGTTGGCTGTTGGATTACCGATTAGAAGGATAAATATCGACTCTGATAGCGAAACGGAACTCAGAGCTCTGGGGTCGAGCATGATGCGTTGGAAACTGATCGAGGAGTACTTGACATCTCTTTCAATCGCCTCGAATTACATCTGAATCAAGTTTCTTTGGGTCTCAGAACATGCGACATAAAATTCCCTACAGGTAGGTCATAGGAGTTTATGTGGCAACTTGGATAGATGAAATTTTATTCGAATCAGCAAATGCTGGAGAAAACCCTGACATGAAAAGTTGCAAAATCTTTCTGGCTTAGTTGCGACTTCTGCACCAACTCTCGATTCTGATTGGTGTACTGTTAGGATACTGTTCTTTAAGAAAACATGCGTTGCGGCTTAATATCGTCACGGACCTCTACTGTCACAGCTATTAGAAGAACGATGAATTGGAATTATCACTCTCAGCTAAGCGGTTTTTGCTATATTAAGGTTTAAACGTCTCCCGAGAAACTCTCTGGAGTGGACATGAGCTGTCTGCGGAAACTTGTTTTCACCACACAGCGCTTTTCCTAACTTCACATGGATTACCTTCAGGTAGTAATAGAATTTACAACACATTAAATATCTGAATAAGCCTCTTGAGTTATGTAAAAAAAGAAAATATACCTAGTAGTAATATACAATTTTTCAAACAGGTGGCGACCCGCTTCAAAAATATTTTCGGCCGCAGACTTTCATAAACCCCTTTAGTTTCTTACCCACATTGCAATATTTAATTTATATTACCAATTAAATTAAACTAAAATTTTCAGACAGGCGGCAACCTTCCACAAAAATATTTTTGGCTGTAAGCGTTTTTAAACCTCTTTATTTTGATAGCCATATGGCAATATTTACCTTATCTTATCAAGTAACTTAAACTGAAATTTTCAAACAGGTGGCAGCTCTCTAAATATTTCCTTTTTTTAATATTTTAAGTGCGCCCTCTAGCAATACATCACAGGCGGACAAAAATTCTAAAATTTTTTGTTTTGGCTTCTGTTGCTCTAGTACCACAAATTAATTTTTCTTTAATATTTATAATGCGCAGACATCATACAGCCAAAACCGTGCTAGAGAAGCACATTTTAAAAGCTTTGCAATTTTTTTCCTATTGGGTATGCATTGGTTTGGGTGTGTTTACGTAAAAGCGAAAGCCTTTCTTTCATTTCTGAAAAACAGCTGCTATTGTTCAGCCAGCAGCGACGCCAGCTACAACGAGGTTGTTAAACTCGCAACCTAAAAAAGGACTTCCGTTTTCAATTTATGCAGCACAGCCAGGGGAGAAACGCTACAGGCGAATTGCGCACAAACATACATAAGTGCATGCAAATTAATTTCACATACATACATACATACATACATACAAAAGAACGATCTAATATGCTTGCTGTCCGTTACAAAGTGTTACTGCCGCTGAATTGCACCTTAATGTTGCGTGTTTGGCTCACACAAAAGACGGACGGACATATTTAGTACAACATACTCTGACATACAGCCAGATGAGAGCAGCAAAGCCAGCAGCAGTACGCTTGTGTTGCATATTACAGGGCGCTTGAACTTACATTTGCACGCAAATTTCCTGCGATGTAAGTTTATAAGCTCGAATAGCAAACACATAACAGAGAGATAGTTGCATGGCAAAGTAGCATAAAGGTAACACAAAATCAACATGGCAACCAGAGGCAGAAGCAAAAGCAAAAGCAAAAATGGATGTAGGGGAAAAAAGTGTACTACCAAAGAATCATAGAAACGTAGTGTAACATGAAAATTTGTACAGGTTTTTGCCCCGAACACATGAGTTCTTCTAGCGAGTGAGTGTGCATGCGGCAATGCTTTGCTTGCGGCCATGCCACTGTGCGTGCGACGCGGTGTGTGTACTTACACTTCGGCAGTTCAAGCAATTGCATGTATTGGTGCTTTTATGCAAATGACATTTTGTCCACTTGATTTGAGTAGCACACCCACCCACATCAGCTTACAGCGACAAGCAATGATGAACGCCTGCTGGCAAATTTGTTTGAATGGGTAACTCTTTAATTTCACCCTACTACCTACATACATACACACACATGAGGGGTGGGGAGGGGGATAAAGAGTTTGTACTAAGTAAACGCAATTTGAATGAGGCAAACTACATATTTTGTGTGAAATTGAGAACATTTGCAGTTGTGCGCACCAAGAGTAGCAGAAATACTGTAAACATTTTCTTGCATTGCCTGTTATTTAGGCTAATTGTGGTTTCATGAGGAACTACTTACATACATACATATGTACATATAATGCAACAGGGAAATGAAATGCATTTGGAATTGTTGTTAGATGTCGAGATATGTATAAAATCAAAGAATTTGTGGCACGAACATGTTTACAATGGACAGGATGACTATCGAAAAATAGATTTTTTTTTTGAGAAAAATTTGTCTATTTCCCGGCCACGTTTTTATTGCAGAATTTCTTTAGAACGAAAATGCTTTGACTGATGGAGGAAGACTCCTCCCCACAAAGTACTTGATAAATAGCTAGCATGGCGTATCCTATATGAATTTGTGTTAGAGGTGTATAGGGCGATCCAAAAAAAAAGTAAAGTCGGAAGTCAGGGAAAAAATATAGCCCTATTTTTTGTTTTGTTATAAAAAAATATTTAGTCGCTCAAAGCGCTCAAAGTGAAACTCAGGCTCTCCTCAGGAGATACCCAGTAATAATACCCCTTTTTTACTTAACCATTTTCTTATACTAAATATTGTTTATTGGTCCCCTCATTGATTTTTCTGGGGACCTATAAGATTTAGTTGCTGTAAAAAAATTATTAGAAAAACAATTGGGTATTATTATTGGGAAAAATATTAATTTGCGAGAATTCTATACCATTCTTACGAAAAGTTTTTTCCTCATATAAAATACATGCAAACTTTTGAGCGACCTCTAAATATTTTTTTATATCAAAACAAAAAAATAGGATTATAGTTTTTCGATCTAGAACCAACCTTGGCGCTGAAGGCATCGAAATTCCACCTTTACTTTTCTTACATGCATTTTGGAACCACCCTAATGTACATATACTCGAACATTTGCCAAGTGTGCGCATTTTCATTCGTCTCATAAGATGCTCTTGCTTTTGGGCAGTCATAAATAATTGAAAATATTTACATACATTGCTATTGCTAAATACGCTAATTTGCAAATTTTCCCAAAATAAATAAACAATTTTAGAGTACTTGCAAAATCCTAAATCATTGTCGCTTTGTCATGTTATTAAGGAAGTGTAAACAGCTTTTGGCATATTGTCGTAACAATTTTCAAAACTAATTGGGCATCACGTCAAATTACGCACCTAACTGCCATCCCTAAATTGGCGCGTCAAGCGCCAAACAACTGTCAAAAATCCTCATGCCCATACAATTTGTATGAAGCATCCCACAATAACGCGGCGCTAACGCCGAGCAAATGGAATTTTCATTTTTGACAGGGCGTTACGTGTTGAAGTTGGATGCGGAAGACGGAAAGAAAGAGAAAGGACAAAAAAGTGAAAGAGGAAACGAGAATAAAAACGAGAGGATCTGAGAAAACGTCAAAAATTACGACGCGTTGATTTGGGGATAGCGCGCGCTGACACTCGTCGACAATGGATAACGCAACGCTTAGCGCTCCAATTTAGGGACGGCAGTAAGTAAAGACAGCGTAGATATTATAATTGCTATTGGCAGGGGGCATAAATTTTAACCTAATATACAAACGTACATACAAACACTCTGATAGAAATGCGGCGATTCTCACCCTCTATAACATTTTAATACTAATATCTTCGAGAAACCGTGTTTATCTTATTTCTGGCTCGAAACTCCTTCAACGGCGGGCCTGGATGACACAAAAAGCCTAACACACAGATAAAAGCCGTAATGTCGGGTATTTCAAGAATGAGAACCAAAGTACTCTTTCACCTTACAGGTTTTCTTAATGGCTGTGCGGTAAAAAACACTTGTCAGATTTGGATGTTGTTTTTGGGAACGAGTGGATGTTCTCTCATGACGAACGAGAAACAGCAGAGCACAATATGTGTCACTGTAAAGCCTTTACTTAGCCGATATTTTGCTTTCTGGGATTACCGCACCTAGAAGCTTGATAGCGACACGCGGATCGAAGAAGGCCTATAACAAAATTAAGGTTCATTGTAAAAGATCGTCGTTGATTGCGGTAAACAGGCGACATACTTTCTCCTTGAAATAATAATCTAATGTAATCTAATCCAATCTTTTCAACCTTAAGAAACTAGTTTTAATACTTTTAAATTACAATGGACTCACCCCACATCACCTCACTTCAACTCACCTCAGTTTCCATAAACTAATCTATATTTAATCAACTCAACTCGCCTCTACTCTTCTCAATTCACCTCAAGTCACCTTAACCCGCCTAACCCTGGGATTCACCGATTTATGGTTCGTATAGCCATTCGGATATGCCCAATTTATGTGCAAATTTAGATTTGTATTTAGTCCATACATACCTATTTATGTTTATGAATAAAAAATATGAGTTAATAAAATTAGTTTTAGATGCATCTCAACATACCGCTCTTGCCAACGCTCGGCGCTCCAACGANCTTATGTATGTCAATGAATAAAAAAAATGAGTTAATAAAATTAGTATTAGATGCATCTCAACATACCGCTCTTGCCAACGCTCGGCGCTCCAACGACAGCAATTTTTAATTCTGTCAAAGTCGATTTCTTGCGACGAATACCGCGTGTTGTCATTACCGCTAAATTTATGTGAGCAATGTAATATCAAAATAGCAACCACAACAACAAACCACAACGACGATAAACCGCAAGTGAAATTCACAAACCGAAATGAGTGAATAAATTGAATGTTTTATGTACGCAGCAGGTGAACCGATCGAGAATGGAAAATGTACTTGCGGTCAATAAATGCACAAATTTATATATCCTATTGGCGCAGGCACATGTATATATGTATGTATATGTAGGTGAAGCACAGACTTGAATGTATGTCTGACTTTATATGTATGTTTGTAGATTTGTTTATTAACCAACGCCGGTATTGTGTAGTCTACAGTCGTTTTTTTGTTGAAATTTTTGGCTGTAGCAAAAATAAATAAATATGTAAACAAATAAATAGTATGCTTATTTCACACAGTGACGCAACAGTGCTGCCTGGTTAGTACGAATGCATATCAACTGAAATATGTACATATGTATGAATGAACAATTTTTAGCGCGTAAAAGCTCCTAATTTTTGTTACGAGTAAGAACACGTAGTATTAAGTTAATTTTGTTTTCATTAATATTTTAGCTGTAAAATTGTACACTTTTCTTTACTCATATTGCTTTTGAAGGACTCTATTGTTTTTCTAATCGATGTGTTTCAGGAATCTGAAAATTAACGCATGAATAAATGCAAACTATTTTATTGATTTGTAAGCTGTATAGCTTCTAGTTATATTTTCTTTTTATTTTGTTTTCACAGTTTGTAATCACTCATTAAAGGCATTTTTTTTTGTTAGTTTTCTTGAAAATTTTTGTTTTTACAATTTTTACGTTTAAGTATGGAATTTTTATTACATGCGCTTACAAGTTGCCGCTCGGCTTTTCCATTTCAGAAATAGTTTTGTTTTCGATTGGTGCTTTGTTTTTATTTTCCATGTATATATATGAACAAATTTCTCCAAGCGATTGTTGATCAGCAATCAGCAGACAGCGACTAACGAGCAAATTCCACATCGCGATGCCCGACGATCACAAGCAAGTAAAATATGTATTTTCAACAGAAATACATACATACTTATGACTTATACACATGTTCTGTTTAATAAATGAACAAAAATCAACGGTTATTCTCCTGTCATCCTAATTTTCTTGAACTGTTATTTAAATAAGTTTGGCGCTGTCTTACGCTTTGAGGTAATTCTTTTTCTTTTTTTCAAGTCCACAAACAGCCAGTAACTGCGAATCGCTTTCATCGAAATGGCTTAAGAAACACCATTTTCGCCAAAAATGCCGAGTCACATATCTGTTGCGGTAATTTGCGAATATTTGTTTTTCAATTATATGTATATCGTCAACTGAGTGGAAGCTCGCCTTAACTCGGATGCCGATTCGAAAAGACCCTACCTCAATATAAAGTAAATTTAGCGGCAGCCGAGATGACATTGCACTCAGCTAACGATGTATAAAATATATTAGAAAAAACTGAAAAATAAAATTAAGTAATTATTTCGAAATTTAAAAAATCGTATAAGTAAGCACTTATAAAAATTGTTGGCCCAAATTTTTTTTACACCATACCTCTATAGATTTAAAAATCTAGAAATTTTCAAGATGTTTTTTTCAAGATATTAAGCTTTAGGCTTTTAAAAAAAGTTTATTGCAAACTCTAAATTAAAAATAAACTTAAACTAAATAAAAATTATTTAACAACTTTATTTACAGCTAATTTCACGAAAGCAATTTAAGTAAAAAATGATTTTAATTTTTTGAACCGTATATGATAATTAACAAAAAAAAAATAATTTTTCATTTAAATTGCTGCTGAAACCGACGGCTAGAATTTGGAATTTTTTATTTTGTGAAATTAAAAAAAAAAAAATCAAAATTTCAGGATATTTTAAGATCAGTTGGAGGTTGTGTAGTAGGGTCAAAACATAGTGGAGCGACGAGCAAAGAGCATCGAGCAAAGCGCCCATTTCAAACGCATATGTTACAATGGGAGAACACATAGTGAAGAGCAAAGCATACATACACGTTTGTAATTGGAGCTTTGCTCGATGCCAGCTTTTTGCTTTGCTCGCGGCTTCACTATGTTTTTACCCTAAGAACGCTTTTGCCAAAAATTGTTTTTATTTAAAAATTCTGTAAATTTCTAAATTTTTTTAATTTTTTTATATATTTTTTCTTTATATAAAATCGCCTTTGTAACGAAACCAGAAACATTTTTGTAACTATGTTAGCTTTTGATATATTCAAAAAAATAAACTTCCGAAATCCCGGAAATTGGGAAAATATTTTTGCATAACTTTTGAAAAAAAATAAATACATTTTTTTCTGGAAGGGATTCGTTTTTTGATAATAGAAAAGTTCCGACTAAAATTCATGCATATCAAGAATGGTCGATTCAAAGTATTGGTCGACTCCAACCATTTTTCGGTTTGCTATACATAGATTGACCCATATGTATTCCCCTTAAGTCTTAATAAATTTCTCAAACGTTTTATACATAGATTTTAGGTTTACGATCAAACGAAAAAAGAAAAAAAACCCATAGGTGGTTTTCGCTTTCTCACCATCAGTATTTGAAGGCAATGAGCAATAATCCGAAAAGGCAAAATCCGCTCTATATGGATGCTGCTTTGAAGGTTTCAGTTGACGCCAAATAACTTTTACGGTTTCGAATAAATTTTTTGCTTTTAATTTTCTTAATGAAAAATTTAAGGTTTTCTAAAAGTGTAAAATATTTAGTAATTTCCATCAATATTGCTACTAATCGAATGGTATCATGAATAACATTAGAAATCTCATTTCTAAATATTTTCACCACTGATCTTCCCTGAAACATTTTTGAAAATGTTTGCATAATAAAGTGTCGTAATTCATTGTTCTTCTTAGTTTATAGATTCCAAAACAGTCGGCTTCCTTTTATTTTAAATTGCTGTGAGTTTTTTCGTTACCTATCTTGGTCTGATCTTGGATATAAAAAAGTGATCGTGAAGGCAATCTTTATGCAGAGATTTTTGAATTTTTTCAATATTGCCCGAAAACTTAACCTCGCCACGGCTCTGAGAGCTTAACGCTTTAATGAATCTTCGAACTTGCTTGAATAGAATGGGAACTTATGTATGCGAATCTAAATCACTTTTTGGTTATGCAGGAACTTCTATAAATTACTTATGGTTCAAAATTAGACTGATTGGTTTTAAAGATACTCATCTGAGAAGAAAATCGAAATAACAATGAGTTGCTTCCATTTTACCAAACCAAACATTATGCACTACTTGCTTTGAGATCAAAAAACTTCTACGGGACTTTTTTATCTGATAGATTTTTATTGCAATTGCTACACTACACGTATTCCTCAAATGAATGAGCGAGGGCAATTTGAAAAGTCAATGAATTTTTGAATAAAATATATTGTTTGTTGTTGGCAAAAAAGCGTTTTATTTCGATATACTTGGTCCAGCGTTTTACCAGTTTTTTAATTCCTGCCAAATAATAGGTTTCCCAAGGTCCTCAAAATAAGTATTTGTTTCAGTGATGACCTCACTCGACCCGAATCTTCTGCCGCTTAACCATTTCTTTGGTTTTGTAAACAGGAAATAATCACTGGGGACTAAGTCTGGGGAAAACATAAACACACATAGTTGATTCGCAGCCCAATTGATGGATTTTTTCGGCCCTGACTACACACTTGTGTACCAGCGCAATGCCTTGCTGGAATATCACTTTTTTCTTGGCCAAATGTGGTCGTTTCTGCTTCAAATCGAATCCGTAAAAAATCTCCGAATAAAATTTGCCAGTTATTGCTTTGCCCTTTTCAAGATAATCGACGTGACTGACACCGCGTGCATCTCAAAAAACTGTGGCCATGACTTTATCGGCCTTTCCTTGATTTCGGTATCGGTAAGCGATTTTTTATGCATAAAAAAGGAAGCCTAATCAGCACACGAAATTCAATTTTTTCAATGGCTGTCACTGAATTTTTACCAGTACGGTACAGTACCATGTATACCGCAAGATTCGCTCGAAAATTTTTGCCCTTCTTTCGAACCATTGAAACGCCTCACGGGGTCTATTTATAGCAGCTTTAATAGAGATGGAAAATGCCGAATGGTATATGTACTCGATACATATCTTTGGTTAAAAGGTAGACCTAAATCATGAATTATTTAAAAAACTCTCAAATGTATAATTGGATGCAGTTACAGGCATCACTATGTTACGTTGTTACAAGGCCTCACGTGAGAAACTCTTCTTATTCTTTTTGAAGCAAAGGTGAGATGAAGGATATTACCATCTCCCTAATGGATGTACGATTTCATTTGCACAAAAAATTTATTCACCCCCTGTCACCTTATTGCCATAATTGCCGGCAGAGTATAGCGATTTAATGCTATAAATACTTTTTGATCACAAAAGAAGCTCGTGCTAAATTTTTCGCATTTTCCACCACTCAAATTTTCAATTAAGAAAGCGCTTAGTGTCAGCATCTAATGCAAATATGAATGTATATGGATCATCCTATGAAAAGAAAACCCACCACAAATTGGCAAAAATAAATTAGAATTTTTTTTTAATACTTGCTGTCATTTAAAATTTTCAATGTCAAAAGAAATGCAGCTTTCCTTTATATTAATTTTCGCTGTGTTTTATTTACACTTTTTAGTTAATAATTTTTTAAACTCATGCGCGTAATTAGATCACTAAACTATGCGTTTTTTGTCGTTTTGCTGCTTTAATTTAAGATGTTGAAAATGTTTTTGTTTTATGTCAACATTGAAAGCGCTTTCATCTTTTTTTTTGTTTTTTAATTTGACACAAAAAAGCCCGAGGTAGACACAGCTGAAGGCACCTACCTGCCAGCAATGAAGCTGCAAAAAAGTTACTCATACGCGGCGTTGTGCTTTGATCGTCGGCTACCGCTGTGCCGCTTGTATGATTATTTTTTTAATTACACATTTTTTTTTACTGGTACTAAGGTATTCATAACAAATCAAATTAAATTTTTTCGCCAAATTTTTCTACTTTGCCGTTTCGCTTGCCTGTTGCTGATCGTGTGGTTGCCTTATATTTTTTTTACATTTCTTTTTGTATGTATTTGCATGTTTATACTTAAATATGTATGAAGGCGAGTGAATGTTGGCTGATCGTTTGGCAACGTGCTGGCATGGCACTTGCCTGTTCGATGTTTGCGTATTTTAATTTATTTCTATAATTTACCCAATCTTACGTATTCATGCTTAGATGAAAACGAAAATAGAGTCCCTGAAGCCAAAAATTTCGCACAGACATACAGTGACTCAAACAAGTATTCACTGTTTGTGCTTTTAAATACATATTCATAATGTTTTTCAAAGCAATTTTTTTGTTTGTTATTGTTTTATAAAAATATTGTTCAGGTTTTATATAAAAACGCAAAAGCCACCAGCAAAAATAAACTATTTATTAAGAATCAATGCGAGGTTTTAGTCGCTTAAAAATTGCACTTTATGATATTGAATTCTATGGGCTATAAAACTGTATATATGCTTTAAAGATTCAGATTGTAAAATTCAAAATTTTGATGCAAATTTTTTGTATTTTTCTTACTTTTGTATAAAGTTTGAAATTTTGATTTATATGATTTTGGTTAGTTAAAAAAAAAAAAATAACAAATAAAAATTTAACTTGAAAAACATTGTGAGTATTTACAAAAAAAAAATAAAAATAAAAAATTCTTAAAACGTGAACACTTGTTTGAGTCACTGTGTGTACGGCTTATGCGCAGATATATGTGTGTTGATAAAAAAATCAACGTAAGCGCATGCCGATGTAAACAAATGTCCGGTGAATTTTAAATTAAATTCGAAAACTTGCTCCCACAAATTTTTCATATACACTTTTTTAATATTTCTTAGTCTCATGAGTCGAATTACATAAAAAATTTTGTTTTTAGTATTTTAAGGTTTTTTGTTTTTGTTTTAAATATTTATTTGTATATATGTATTACTTAATTTTAATAAATTTATTCTCTTTTAAACAAATTATTTATCACTTTTATCGCTCGTTTTGACCGGCAACTTTCACTATGTTGCAGTTTCGGCCCACTCTTCGCCACTAACTGAAAGCGCTAATGCATACGAGACTGGTCAGCTCTTCAGCATGTTGTTGCTCGTCCGCACTGATCGCTCATTTGCCGCTGTTTACACTACTAATTCAACGTGTCGAAAATTCCTTTGTATCTTTTCGAAACAACATATTTTGAAATGATATTTTAAAAATAGCTTAATGTTGAGGGAATTAAAAATGAGAGAGAGAGAGAGAGTGAAAGAGAGAATAGTGAAACTGGTGGATCTCTATGAAGATCAAAATGGGTCGCAAGTAAACTGATGCTTGAGCATCAACTCTTTAAATCGAGAATAATCAAAGTCGCGTATAAAGAAAAAACAGTTCAAATTATAACTAAAAAAGCCAATAAGTAGCTTAAACTTATAACACTGAGCAGCCTATTTATTAAGGTGGCCCTTAAAATATCAAGAAGTAGAACTTTTCCCTAGCCGAGACGAGCACGGCGGTATGCGTTTATAGAATTCAAACGAACAAACATTCATTCTACATATGTACATTAGGGCGGAGTGATTTGTTTGGAGCAAAATTTTCGTAAATCAAAATCAAATTCTACGATTCATTCGAAACAAAAACGGCCAGCAAACTACACAGCAAAAGTGACGTTTGACGCTCCCAATTTTCAAAAGATAAAGTAGTATATTTTAACTTTTTTGACATAAATAATTTTATATTTTCTCGGTTTTGTGAAACAGTTTCTTAAAAATGAAGAAAACAAACTTTATAAACTAAAAATTAAATTCGTTTAGAAAAAATTATAATTCACTGAGTTTTATTTTAAAAATTGGGAGGGTCAAACGTAATGTTTGGTACACAGTTTGTTCACTATTTTTGCTTAGAATCGAACGTGGAATTCGAATATGCCATACACTTTTTTTGGCATTAAATTACTCTGCCCTAATGTATATAGATTAAACGTTATTATCTAGAACTTTGAATATACATATTTACTAGGTACAACACACATAAAACTAAGAATTTACTTTATCAAAAAATATCCGCATATCCATTAAATTCCCATCTGCCACACTCAAGGGTTAACACGCTCACTTAATATTCAATTCTCAGCCAAAAGAAAGCATCGCACATTCTCTCAGTGATCAGCTCGTAAAATTTTGCTACAAATTATGTTTACTTTAAATATAGCAAACAATTTAGCGGTGTTACCGTCCTCACATGTACTGGTACATGCATAAGCACCCACATACACATACTTACACATATGTATGCACAAATACCTACGGATAAATCTCGCTGTTGCAATTAGTAAGTGAGAAAATTGTTGGGCAACCAGCTCATGGCCCACTAATCGTTTTAGGTAGATCAAACAAGAAATTTTCAATGAATTTGTTTGGCGTAAAATAAGGAAAATCTGTCCATCATCAATGATCAACGGCTACACGTGAAACACTGCTCAAAAAGATACCTGCGCACATACACACGCACGTGTAAATATGATGTAATAGTGATGTGCTGAGTCAATACTTCTAAGTATTGATCGATACTCGGTAGCGATTAAAAAAGTATCCAATACTTTCGGTACTCGATACCGAAATATTAATGCCTCTAATAAAAGCGCACATAGGCCAAAAATATGAAAGAAAAACCGTTCGGACGATCTTTGTAGGCCTGAAAAGCTTCGTCATCTGTCGAAGGTGAATACTGATAAAAAAATATTTTGCTGTTGCGACAAGTTCAAGTTTTTTAGCCGATATCTTATAAAATCGTATAAAAATATTTTTTTTTTGTAAACTTTAAATATACTAAGCGGCCATGGTTTAATGTAAAGAATCGGTATTGGGTACCGAAATATTTTTGAAGTATTGGGTACCAACAATTCAGCACATCACTATGATGCTATGAATTAACAACTGTGTGAGGCCTAAATGCTTTCTTGCGGATCAGAGAAATCGGAAAATATTAAACGTGTAAAAAAAAGTATTGACAACAGATATTCGGCTATACGAGTATGCACATTGAAATGTGTGTGTGTTAGCCCATGCGTGTGCGTTATGCTTAAGCTATAGCCTACAATTCATTCGTTGCACTCAGCAGTGCATTCTGCTTGACGACTGCCGCAAAGTTTTATTGAAAACATCTGTGCGGTTAATTGCAACCTTTGAAAGCACTGGAAGTGATTAATGTAATGCGACTTAACAGTTCAGTGTTTCAGCTCTTAATGCTATGTAGACGATGGGTGGGCTTATGAATTATTGTATGTTTGTATGTACATATGTACTATGTATGTGCATTTGCTATGAAAACTGTTGATCACCAATTTCCGAGTGCTTAGATGGGTTAAAATTTCTAGTAAACATATGTGGATGTACATATATAAGAGTAAAACATATACATATAGCTAATTTACTTAAATAGTGTCAAACTCGAAAAAGATTCCCATAGTACCAAAGAAATATTTTTTTTTTTTCAGTGAGATACTGGTAATCGATACAGCTATAAAATAATGAATAGATAAATAGTGGCGGTAATTTTGGCATTCTTGACTCAGTTTTTGCATCTTTTTATGATTATGACACTATTGAAGTAAAAAAGCGATGTGCATATCTTGATCTCTTCTACTATATTCAGCTCCGAGTGCTAGTGTGCTTATTGTGCTTTATTTTTATTTAGCGCGTGCCGCTGCCGTTAAGTATATCTGAAATATTTTAATAGGTGCAGAGATCCACCTAGAATGTTTATACTTGTTATAACAAATTTTTCCTTTGATTCGTTTAATTTCGCTTTAAGATGACTAAGCATTTTTCTTATTATTATTTTTTTTTTGATACTCGTTCCCATAAATCCAAAAATAAAGCATCGATTTTGGGGTTCAGTTCTCTTGGGTTGCCTAAAATGATGTTTCAGCTATCGAAATATGTCTAACAGAGGTCCCGACCTTTTGCAACTATTTCGATGATCAGTGTGAAAGTGTTAGTTGACGCAGCGCTCTGAAAAAGTAAAAATGTATTTCTAAAGTTAAAAAAAAACGCCAAAAGTGATAGGGGCGATCGATTTTAATTTTGTAAATTAGGGTTTTCTTTTACAGGTCAGTTCTACATAAGGTTTAATTTAAAATTTATTTAATGAAATATTCAAGTGAATTTTTTAATAAGCAGTTTAAAGATAATGTTATAAGTCATTTTGTCCAGGTTTCACTAATAAAAAATTTATGTTTATTTCAAGAAGATTAAATTTTAAACTACAATACTAAATATTGAATCCGACCGTGTCCGACCTTTTGTTTAAGGCACGAGTTTGTACCATATTGTACCATATATTGAAAGATTTTCTGAAGTAGATTTTTTTTAAATTAATTTTTTTTCACCAATTTCTTGTAAGATACATGTAAACATGATTATATTATAATTCAGTAGCATTTTTATTTAAGAATTTTTAAAACAAACTTAAAAAAAAATTAATTAATTTTACGTGAATTTAATAAATATTTTTCAAATTCAACACATTTCTTGTATCAACGTCTTATTGGATCAGGCGCCTTATTGGATCGGATATATTGTTTTTAGTTATTTTGATTTCAGATTAGAATTTAGCGACCGCAATAACTCTTAAATAAAATGAACATAAGCCATTATTGTTATTATTTTTAACAAAATTATTGTGTTTAAGATTTTAGGCGCCATATTGGATCGGCCATTTTGGTTTTTTTGGAATTCATATTCGAATTCAGAGACCTCAAAAGCCCCTGTAAACCCGAATTTATGTGAACATACAAATTTTTTAAACTGTGGGCACCAAATGGGTATCAAATAAGTATCACTTTGCGTCGCTTATAAAATCAGGAACCATATGTAGCGTTACCTTTGGGGAAGACACCGCCGAAATTCGTGTCTCTGGTAATAGGACACAAGGTGCTGAAGAAGAAGCCAGTTATACTGTAAATTATTTTGATTCACTCCACTTGTACCTCACTTAATCGAATAAAATTTATCGTAGACAAATACTTAAATGCATTAGTGCAAGAACCTTGACTTTACGAATAAAGGCTACCTTCTCTACAGCCCATTGAAGCGGCAAGACTCTAAAAGATACCAACTAGATTAAATTTGAACCTAGGTAGTACTTTGAGGGCAGACGGCCTCTAGCCAGAAGTATTTTGAGTTTCTGATGGATACCTATGTAACCCCCATCGTCGCTGAGTTATAAAAAGCCGTAACTAAAAATCCAAAATTCACTTTTTGATTGACTATGATGCGTTTTATCGAATTATAAGTCCCTACATCGTCTTATGTAATACAAAATTTTATTTAGTTGTGACTTTTTTGCATTTCAGTGACGATGTGAGATACGCCTTTTCCATACTATAGTAACGATATGTAGAATCGGCCTCGTATGCCGAAGTAATTTATCTCATACAAGGTAAATAAAGTAAAGGCACCATGCTTTAAGACACAGAAGCTAGATAAAATATAGGTAAAGGACTTAAAACTCCCATACAATGGAAATAGCGCAACACACTTACAGTATGGATGAACTATGGAAAGCGTGCTTCACGAAAGAGTAAGTACTATCGAGCTTTCAATAAAGTCTGGACGAAATTAATTAGCATGGTACTTTAAGACTATCGAACTCAGCATTCTATTGTAGCATGGATTGACTCCATGCTTCAGATTTACGTAATCAACGCAGATATGGATACTGGAAGAGTGAGAAAACTAGCCACCAGGAGCACTTCCCAGTCAGGCTAGTGTGACTCTTCTCTGCCGGCTCTTGGTGGTAAAATAAAAACTAAACGGTTCGGAGAGAGTTACTGTTTAGGCGCGACTACTAACATCAAGCACCTAAATGCATGCTAGGTACTGCTGCATGTGTAAAAATTTCATTAATTAAATGTATGAAACTTTTATACATGCACTTCTCAACTGTCATGTAATAAAATGTCTTAAGTTATCTGACGCATCCTCCGGACAATGCTTCCAGAGTGCTTTGCGGGCTCTGCATGACTTACAATAAT